TCCAACCTAATAGCGATGGCCTCCAACCTAATAGCGATGGCCTCCAAGCTAATAGCAATGGCCTCCACCCTAATAGCAATGGCCTCCAACCTAATAGCGATGGCCAACCAAAGTAGAGCACAGCGGTCACATTGACTTTGCCGCTTGCTTGGGCTTTGGTACACAAAGCTTTCGCTACCTAGGGTCAGGACTGGCCAACGGTGGTTTCACCAAGAACCTTGCCACCATGTTCCTGTCAAACTCGTTGCTAATGACAAAGTCGCGCAACGGCAACAGGAAGACGGCAATGCAGCTTGCACCAAAACAAGACTTGATCTTCGAAAGTGAAGCTCATTCAAAAACTGCTGCAGTCAGCGGTGCACCCTTCTGTCTGCATCCTTCCGTCTACATCCTTCTGTCAACTGCTGTGTTACTGCTTTGACTCAACAGGTTCTGTCAGAATGGGTTTGCCATGCTGCAGGCGTCCCCATTCTTAAAGTGCCTTTCGAAGCGCAGTCAGCTGTGGTGCCTTCTTCTCGGCAAGCCCCTGGACATGGCGAGATAGTAGCTATATATTTGTGAGCTGCAAAAACTCTCATGTGTAGCTAAATAGATATTTGTATATATATATATATATTCATTAATCTATTTATACTCTTTTTTAATACTGTCTACTCGCAAGACTCTTGTTTTGCTGGACAAGACTCAACTTCTGAGAATGCAAATCAGCCAAGCCTGAATCTTGTGCTTCAAAGTGTCCACCACGGCAGAGAATGCCCGCCTCCTTACAAGAAAATAGCATTGCGTGCATATTAATGTCTGAACTCGCTACGACCAAGATTGCCAGAGGACTCACAGCAAAAAAACAGTCAGCTGACCCTGGGTCGTTGGGGTAGTAGTGGTCCTGCAGCCACCGACATTAGACTCCAACTAGGATGCTGGATAAGAAACCTCACTAGGCAGAGTTATGCAGTCTCTCGGTCATGTATCATAATCGACCGGATCTAGACTGCAAAGTAAGTGGGGCTAGATAAGCAATGCAATGTGGTGAGGTGAGGGTACCTGGCAAGAGCAAATAAGATGTTGCGATCACGGCCTGGCTCCAGTCGCAGGGTTTTTCAGGGTTCCAGGGGTTCCAGGGGAAAAGTTGCGATCAGAGCTGGTTCGAGGGTTCCATGCAGAACCCAGAGTTCCAACGTTCAGGCGAAAAAGTTGCGATCGGGGCCTGCCTGGTTCCAAGATAAGAGAAGCAAGAACCCTTGGAGCTTCCAGCAACCCAGGAGTCAGTCGCAGTTCTTGTGAAAATGACCCAAAACCATTCCATCTCTGAGTCAACAGTCGGTGGGCTCTGGAGGCCTTTTACAACGAGGTCGTTGCCAAAACCTGTATCCACTCAGGATGCCGCTGGCGGCCAGGAAAGCGGAGCGCCTCTGTGTTTCCAATGTGTGTCCCTCTTCAAACAGATCTGTTATGTTCTCTCTCTCTCTCTCTCTCGCTCTCTCTCTCTCTCTCTCTACTTCTTGCAAGGCTTTCATGACACATATTGGCAGAGACTTTTTCAAGGACTCTCAAGACCAGACCTGGCCTTGTGCATCATCCTTCCACAGGCACCAGAAAAGGGCTCTCCCTAGTGTTGACCGCAAAGGCTTGCAGTTCAGCGAAGGCAAGCAAAATCGGAAAAAAACCATCCAGAATCATGCGGCATATCATGGCTCAGACTTCCAAGTAGTAGTGCAGGAAGCACACATGCCACATCCACTCATGACAAGAGACTGCCCACAACCTGTATGCTGTATTTGTACGGTATTTTGCTATCATTAGGGCTATCATTGATAACTTCAGGCTCAAGGCAAAAAAGAAATGCATCTATTCTCCCTGCACCGCCGTCTGCTGAAGACATCGTGGACTTGCATGCATGGCTTGATGTGTGACAGACCAGCATAACATGAGGCTTTTGACACTTCGCACTTTGCAAAGCAAGCGAATCCTGTTGCGTCCTTCGCAGGGCCATTTCGGCAGGTCAAAGCTCCGTTTCTGCCCAAAAATATCGATATGTTTCCCGAGACTTGCCATCTCGCGAGAAGGCCTCCCAAAAACGGCACCAGCCTCAGTTGGTGCTATCTCATGTTAATTTGATCCACTACCTACACAGGCCAGAATCAAGTGGGCGTCAACCATTCCTGCAAAAGAACTTGAAGGCAACAGGCTGAGGTTTCAAATGCCGATTTGCGCTCAAAGCACTTCACGTCTTGTGAAGCTGCAAATGGCCATAGGCGGCCGGCCACGCAGAACTCTTTCTCCCGGGCAACGGATCATGACTTTGGGGTTCTTAAGTTCTTGAGGTTCTCCTCCCGTTCACCATTATTCAAAGGCACAGTTTTGGAGTTTCAGCAAGGAAAGCAACGTCCAGCATAATACTCTTCCTCATGCGGTTGGTTGTGACATGATTCCTCATGCTTCATGCCTCATGTCTATGGAGAAAGAGGTCTGTCTACTGAGTCTACTCCGGGTTTTCAATGGCCGCAACCTGGAGAAAGGGGTCTCTGCTGCATAGATTACTGACTGACTCATAAAGCCAAAACTCGGTTAACTGCAGGCGAGACCAGATTCACCACGAGATTCGTCGTCCTTCCGTTCTCTCCAAGTCCTTCCATCCTTCCGTCTTTCCGTTGAATTTGCCTTCAACTAACTCACGAAACTTCGAGGTCCAAACCCCGTACTTGTCGCCCTCCTTGTGACGCTTGTCGCGCCAGCTTTTCAACAAACCTGACAAGCTAGTGAGATTTTCGACTTCAACAAGACCTTCAGCCCACAAAGCTTGCGCAACGATGCACAGAGCCCCTGGCTTTTCGGCTCCAAGCCCTCAGTGAGATCAAGCATCTGCTGCTTGTGTGCCTTGCACACATGTGGATGACATACTTTCCCCAAAAGACGCTAAATAACCCTTTTGTTGTCACCAAGCACCGACGTGCCAGGCAAGAGTGGGGCAAGGCTGGAGAACAGCGTGTTCAAGTGCTTCCGAAGGCTTTGTTCAATGGTTAAAAGGAATGCCGTTTGGTCCTTCTCTCAGCTCTTCTGAGACTCTTCTCTCTATTAGGTTGGAGGCCATCGCTATTAGGTTGGTAGCCATCGCTAGTAGGCTCCCTCTCTGTCTCGCTCTCTCTCTCTCTCTCTCTCCGATTCTCTCCCACTTTCGCCTCGAAGCTGGCACGCAAAAAGCCAAAGTGTACTTCTTGCTCTTGGAGCCTTGGGTATGTAGTTAGTTGTTCAGCATTTCTCAGACACTCCAGGGTCTTTAAATACCACTCACAAGAGTCACAGAGTGAGAAAGGGACTAGGGCAAAGCTGCATTTCCATCAGTGAATCAGGCAAATACACTGTACTGTTTACTTCCGAGCTTGGAGATACCAAGCTAAGCCTTATCAAGTAGCAGCATCAAGTGCCAACTGTGCGGAGGTTATACGACCACAGTAACCCACGTCAGAATTGCACATGTGACTCGCGGAGCCTTCTTTGCTACTAATTTCAATTAGATTCTATTTAGCTTCTTGTTTCTACTAGCTTCTTGTTCCTAGTAGTAAGGCCCTTGTTCCTAGTAGCGATGCCAGGAGCCCCTAGTAGCGTCCTTGCTCCTACCCACGTCAGAATTGCACATGTGACTCGCGGAGCCTGGGGAAATACAATTGGCACTGTGCCCAAAGCTGCTCCAAGCGCTTTGACACCTGGAAAACGAATGTTGAAAATGTTTCCACAAAAACAAACAGAAAAGGCAGGGAGTTTGTTACACGTTGCAGGTCTTTGTCCTTGTTCCACCTGAGTCTATCTCTGCTCCCAACGCAGTGCCCAAGCAGAGCTCAGCCTCTGGAAGTTGTTGTGCCAAATGTCTCAGCCTCGAATGGACCACAAATCGAGCAGCCGCGGAGTTTGCTCCAAGTCGAACGGCAGAGTCACCCAGGCTGTAATTAGGTGCTATGAGGAGTGGTTTCATGAGTGATGCTGACGCTGGAAGATTGTCGAGCATTCTCTAAGAGAAGTGAATCTTTGATGTGAAATCCACCCAAACACCATTTCAGCTCTGCACGCCAGCTGCTGCTCATCAAAAGCATCCTGTGGATGGTGCGAGAACGGTTACAGTAAGCCATTTGTCAAACCGTCCTTGCAGGTCCAGCCTCCTCTCTGGTACGGGGTCCACTCGGGGCTCGGTTTGTTCTGCAAAAGCATTGATCAAATTACCAGTAGCAAGAAGACCCGAAAAATCCTCCTCTTAAATGCCAAGTGGGACAGGATTATACTATATATACCTGTTCAATCCAACAAACTTGAAAACGAAGCAGGATCTGTTGATCTCCTGGCCTGGTTGGGGGCGTCATTTGGTGACTTTCTCTGGGAGTTGTTTGCGCGTGCTGTTGGAAACAAGCAACCTTGGGAAGCATTCAATTCAACAAGTGTTTCCTTTGTAATCCTTCATCTTATGTCCTCCAATCAGAATGACCAATTTCAAATGTCAAGCCAGCTTTGCTCTGTTTCTACAAATTCAACAGTTACAAGAATCCCGGGTATGGCAATGCACGGGATCCAAACCTGGTGAACGTTGTGGGCCTTGGTACATACAAGTATCAAGTACTTGGAGGTCGTTGGAAAAAACAAACAAAACAGAATAACGTAAAAAGCAATCAAACCAACGAACCAATACCAACCAACGAATCAACCAACCAATCACAGGCAGGCAGCCAGCGAAGCAAGCAACCAACCCACCAGCAGCAGAACAAACAAAAAAGGCAAACAAACAAGGCTCTGCCAAAAAGAAATACCGAGCTAGGTATTTTCATGTATTTTCCACCAATCCGTGCCATGCGACGGCATGCCATGCCCCACGCCTGCATGATGTGCAACTTCTGCACGACTTCAGCCAATCCACCTCAGCAACACGCCCCGGTTTGCACAAAAATCACAGGATTGACAGCTCCACAATCACAGTCTTCAACTGGCTTCTAGCTTGGAATCGCTAGTAGGTTGCTTCTAGCTTGGAATCGCTAGTAGGTTGGAGGCCATCCCTTCCAGGTTGGAGGCCATCGCTAGTAGGGTGGAGGCCTTCAACTGGCTTGAAGTCTCGCTGAGCGACTTGCGCCAAGCCTTCTAGGAGTCCCGTCGCTCCAAGCGCGCATCCAAGCCCTCGAGCGCCAACTCCTGAGTCCACTCTATTCAAACAAAAAATACCGTCTGACTCAGGCCTAATTTTCTGACTAGGCTGCAGGTGTCCAGTTCCCAACCCAAGAAAACGAGAGGCGAGCGAGCGAGCGAGCAAGCGAGCGAGCGAGCGAGCCAGAGAGAGAGAGAGAGAGAGAGCGAGAGAGAGAGAGAGATAGAGAGAGAGAGAGCGAGAGAGAAGGTAGCCTAATTGCCTATAAAACACAAACTCAGTCTGGGCGATGGCTGAGTGCAGATTTGGTGCAATTGGTACTCAGAAGAAAAAAGATAAAGACAGACCTTGAAGAGAAGCTCCTATGGAGCATGTTGAGCTCAGTGTAGGTACCACACTGAGTGCTATCCTTTGGCATCCTTGATTCCGGCCTCACGGAGGATCTTCTACGCAGAAGGTCTGGGCTAAGTTGGATCCTTAAGGTGTTGTGTCCCTGCAACTTGAGGCCGAGGGTAGGTGACGAAAGCTAGCAGGGGTGCATCCGGACTGGTGGGACATCAAGCGGAGTGAGGCAAATGCTCATGAGGTAAAACGTTGTGAACATGTAAGACACACAAACAGCAATGACACAGCCAACCTTAGAA